GATATCGTTCTCAGCTCCCTAGGCAAAATTCTGATTATGTTTCAAATCTCACTTTCCCCTTTCCATTCACCTTGTCGTCTACCGGCACAAGTGCACCCACAATCTGACAGTTACGTTGTTTTTTTTTCTTCTCATTATTTTTACTTCATTTTCTCATACTTTGAAATTGGTTTCGGGATATTTTTATAGTTTCGAACAGAATCAATTGAATTTCAATAAAGCACAGCGTTATCTTTTCGCTTTGTCGAAAGATTAAATAGATTTCATTATGCACAGTCGAAAGAAAAGACAAGAAAAATTTTAGCATTGAATTTTTAAGATAACACCAAACAAACATCAAAGAAAAAAAAACTAGCTATCGATACATTTCCTAATATCATAGGTAGAGCTTATTCAACAAATACCTCAAATCTGTTGTTCATTCTTATAATTACTTAAAAAAAATCAAATATTTACTCATTACAAGGCCCAAAAGCCTTTGAAAGCAGAAGGTTACTGACTTAGGTTAGACGTAACAGGAGTATTAAATGCAAATTATGAGAATATGTGGGATAGATGACGGTTGACCGTCGACTTGAAAAAGTTAAGATTGTAGTTATCAGAGAAGCATCCTCTTGGGAATCTGTTTAACAAAGTAATAATTCTGAGGAGTAAGCTAAGTGGAACTTCCTCCTTATCAATGGAATACAAAAGGAATGCGGATAATTCGACATTGTGTGTGTGTGTGTGTGTGTGTGTGTGTGTGGCATGGCGAGTCCTAGATGCATTGAACTGGTGGAACTAAGGAATGTAGCTGAATATTGTCCATTGGACTAGCGATGCGCTTCGTCTATGGGAAAGTGGGTGTAGGGTGGGAAATAACTAATCACCCAGCAGGACGTATATTCTGTTTTGCAAGTCTGGAATCTCTTGTGAAGGTTTTTGAAAGTAGATAACGGTTGACTATAGACTTAGAAAAATGAACATTCTAGAAATTGGGGAATTATCTCAGCGTAGTGGTTCTTGGTAAAAAGCTGTGCGAATTGAACTTACTTCTTATCAATAGAATGAGAACGGAATGGTTCCTCCTTGTGTATAGGGCATGGCAAACTTTGATGCGAAGGTCTGACCTGATGGAAGTGAATGTAGCTGGTGAAAAAAGCGTTAATAAGTCCGTGTGAATAGACGGGAAAAACAGACATTATTAGAACAGCAACAAAGAGAAAGTTGTAGAGACCCATGACCGATTATATACTGAAATGACACGGTAAAAGAAGAACGTATAAAATGTGTTGATATAATGTCAATATTTTTCACTGCTCGCTGAATATACAGCTATTCCTCCAAGTAACGCATATCGTAATTCGTTTTGTAACACACAAAAGGAATATTCATGCAAATTGATAGTGGATGGTTTCTTGTTGCCCTCTCCACGGTGATTTTATCGAACCACCATCTCTACTTAACTGACTCATCAAATGTTGTTCTGCCATTTGATAGGTTTTATTTTTCATCCTACGGGGTTAGCTAACATCACTCTCAATAAATTGAAATGGGAAATTCTGTTTAGTCGACGACCATCCAACAAAATATTTCATGTATATATAAATTTCAACTCATTTAAATTCAAAATAATTGCTGTTTTTTAAATTTATAGTATCTGTCTATATTTCTGAGATGAAGTATTATGTACACTATTCATATTATTCGGACTATTGTCCTCATTTTTGTTGCCATATTTATTACAACGTTTCGGCCGTTGTACGCTCCGGCCTTCTTCAGGTGGTTGGAATGTCGAACTGAACCCTTTACTAGAAAATTCGTAAACTTAAGGAATCAGCACATATGCTAGTTCACAAAAATCTCATGAGCCGACCAAGTATAGAAATGAATACAATATAGGAACCAATAATAAGGAGTGCCAGAGAAAAGCGACAATAACAACAAAAATTGTAATATGAGCCTTGGAAAAAATATGCAATGATAACAGCAAAAAATTGCAATATGAATACTGGTAAAAATGGTTGCTGAAGACATTAGGTTTATAATACCCAGAAATTCATACACAGATGTCCTCAAGTACAGTGGATAAAAGGCGTTGGTTAGATCTAGTGACAGGACCCAAAGAGTGTAAGTTCAATACCCGGTTAAGGCAGTGGAGAATTTCAGAAGGGAATTAACAGGAGATAACTGATAACTAACATCCATTAAACATAGCACGTGGAACTAAAACAGCCTACCCCAGCGATGAAAAGGGTTCAGTTCGACATTCCAACCTGAAAAAGGCCGGAGCGTACAATAAATATGGCGACAGAGATGGGGACAATAGTCCGAATAATGTAAATAGAGTAAATTAATAGTAGCATTGACTTTATCATTTTTTTTTAGTGATAAAGGGAAAACTAAACAATTCAGATTAAAAGAGTTAAAATTGACAACGACATCACTTCTCGACTTGATATCTGAAGACACAATCATTTATTCATATCTCGATAGTAAGTTTAGTGAGGTGAAATTTATAGGTGATATAAAAAAAATGACCTGCAGTTTGTTGTTAACTGGGGCAAGGAGTGCCTAGTTAATTACAGTACCTCCAAAACGCAACTTATTTCTATTAATCAACTGAAAAGACCCCATCCAGCATTACTGACATGTACTAACCGGCATGAAAGTGACTCCTTGTACCTGCTCAGTCTAATATTCTCAGCTTATATGAAATGGAAATACTATATTGAATCTATTGCTAGGTCTGCTGCTAAGAAAGTCGAATCATTGTGTCGTGGTAGACAATTTTTCAAGAATGTACGTTGCATATTTATAAGTTTACCATTTGCCCATGCTTTGAATATTGCTGCCACTTCGCTGTATATTTCGAGATTCTTGATAAAATCTAAAGAAGAATCAGCAATATTATTGGCCCTGACCTGGCGTCTCGGTTTCAATATAGCTTCTCTCTGACTTTTTATGAATACTTTCATTGTAGTTGTTCGGATGAACTATTCGCTATTGTATCAAGACTTTCTGACTAAGGTGCTGTATGAAATTATAACCATCATTTCTATGCTAAGAGTTTCTTTTCTCGCACTTCGTGCTTGTGAAGAACTCTTCCAGCTCCATGCTCTCCAGAATATATGTCGTCAAAAATTTATATGCAATGTCAATCGCTATCTACTGTCTTCTTGATTACTCTTCTTCTATTGTTCTCGCTCCTTAATAATGTTTCTCTTTTTTCTTATTCTTTCACACTCAGCTACCCCTTGTGTCTTAGTGGCTTTACTGCCTTGAATTGGGTGATATTATTAAAATAAAAACATATTACTTTTTAACACTTTGCGGTAGCGAGTGGGAGTGTTTGTCTTGCCAGAGAAAAAAAGTTGCAAATTAATAACGATTCCTTAAGTTAACAGGTCATTTTAAAGAAAATTCTATAATTTATTTTATTTGGTAAATATATTAGAATAATACAGAACTCGTACTTGGAGCAAAACCGGCTGCATACGGTTAGAAAAGGACACTAAATACACAAATATAGACAGGGGCACAGAACAAGGATGTGTCATCTCACGAGACATATTCAAACTACACAGTAAGTCGCTTCTGATAGAATTAGAAGTCCTACCAGGATACGGAATTGGCGATTACAATCTTAACACGGATAATATAGGTTTGTCACTCATCCGGTTCACACTCCTCCCTATTCTTTTGAAAGGTATAGAGATATATCTCTTGTTTCCTTTTTAGGAATGGGATTCTGGACACTTCTAAAGTGGAATCATTCTCTTTCGCTTCCAGTAGCTCCTTGTGTCTTCAGGATACGTTTTGGGCGGCTACAATCTAAACATAAGATATGGAGATGACACAGTATTGGTAGCAGACACAGAAAAAAAACTAGAATAACTCCTACAGAAGTTAGCGAAAGAAACCAAAAAGAAAGGTTTAACACTAATTGTAAGAAGACATAATGCATGGTTGTTAGCAAAAGGAACAGCCCAACATGCAAACTACAAATTAGAGGTACCAAAATCAAACAAGTGCGAGAATTTAGATATGTGCGAAGTTCTTTAGCGGAGGAAGAAAAGTGCGACACTGAAAGTAGCAGTGGGATAGCCAAAGATGCCTACTAAAAGCTAAGCTAAGTATTAAGAAACAAATATTTCATTAGAAACAAAGAAAGGAGTACTGAACGGTTACGGAATATCTGTCCTCCAATATGGCAGTGAAGGCTGGACAATCTCCTTGCAGATGAAGAAGAGACTTGAAGCATCAAAAATATGGTTCTACAGAAAGATACTGAGAATACCATGGACAGAAAATGGGAGTAACAACGAAATTCTAGAGACAATGGAAACAAAAAGGAAACATAAAATCAGAAAAAGACAGTTGAAAATTCTTGTGCACATAATGAGGAAAGAGGGCTTGGAAATTTTTTACTCACAGGACAGATTGAAGGCAAGAGGGACAGCGGAAAGCAACCTACCTAGCGAGCTTGAGTAAATGGATAACGGAACAAAGTTTAGCAAACACAACAAAAATAAATATTAAGAGCTAAAAAGTACAGGAAATCGTGGAGAGCCATGATCACCGAGTTCTTGAAAGGACACGCCACATAGCAGAAGAAGAAGTGTAACGACTTTGATCCATAGAAAATAACTATATATCGAGCCACCTTTGTCGGCTTTTAAGAGAACTGCTTTTTAAAAAAAGAATCTTTCACGGGCCAAACAAAAGAGGCTGAAGAAATTTGTGTATCGGAGTGAAAAAATAATTGACTGAGTCGAAAAGAATAGATTTCCCTTCTGCCTACACTTGTTGCGCAGTTGGGCGATCGCGAATGCGTGTAAGTGCTTTGGAGGGTGTTGGGGGTAAAGAATGGAAAAGCACTTTGCTTTGCACGAAGTCTTATATAAGAAGGTGAAATTAGAAGATGGAATAAGATGGAGGGGGGAATGATGTGCGATATAAGAGAGACATTAATCAGAAGTTTGGTTTAGTTCCAGACACAATTGGAATTCATTTTCTATTTAATATTTCGCCTGGAAGAAGAAAACTGAAGAAAAAAGGAAAAAAAAATGATAGACAGAAATGAAGTTACAAAGTAAGAAGTCGTAGACGACATAAAAGAAAGAAAAGAATGAAGGAAGGAAGTAATGAAAGAAAGAAAGAAAGAAGATTGTTATAACGTTGATGGAATAAAGAAAGATTGATATTAAACAGAAATAAAAAAATAAGGAAAAATAAACGATGTTAAAAGATATGTTTTGTACAAATTGGCCAGTATTGGGAATGATAGCAAGAAAAAAGAAAGAGAAAAGATTGGATGGTGAAATTGAGAGAGAGAGAGAGAGAGAGAGAGAGAGAGAGAGAGAGAGGGGAGAGGGGAGAGAGGGGGAGAGGGGAGGAGAGAGAGAGAGGAGGGGGAGAGAGAGAGGGAGAGAGAGGGGAGGAGAGAGAGAGAGGGGAGGAGAGAAAACTGCAGAGAGAAACAGAAAGAAATAATTGGTGAAAAAAAAGAAAGAAACATAAAACGACAGGAGGAAATAATAATGCAGGTGTTTTACGTAAAAGCAAGAAAGAAAAGAAGGAAGGAAGGAAGGAAAAAATGGCAGAATAAAATAATAATATACAAGGGAGGCGTAAAAGACAGAAAGAAAAAAATAAAGAATTAAAGAAAGAAAGAATAAAATAATAACACAGACGTCTGACATGAAAGATAAGAAAGAGAAAGAAAAAAAGAAACTAAGGAAAAGGCAGTGATAGAATAAAATAATAATACAGAGGTTTGGCGTAAAATAAAAAGAAAGAAAGAAAAGACATAAAGGTAGCTGAAGGATGAGAGAAAGAGAGAAAGAAAGAAAAAACGAAAAACTAAAGATATCTGAAAAAAGAAAGAAAGAAAGAAAGAAAAAAGAAAGAAAATGATGATAAAATCAGCCAGAAAAAAGTCACCACACAAACAATATAAAAAAAAGAAAGAAGCAACAATAAAAGGTGAAAAGGAAGACTGTTGGAGAAAGGAAAGAATTATGAAAAAGTGGGTAAAACAAAAAAATCTTAAAGAAAAAAAAAAGAAACAAGAGGAGACAGTAAGAAAGCCAAAAAAAAAAAAAAAAAAAGAAACAGAGGCAAATATTACCAAATATCGGCTTCCAGAAAATACACGAAATATTTTGAAATGAAACAAACAGAAAAAAAAGTAAGCAAAAAGAGAAAAAACAGATTGAATAGAAAACAACAAATAACTCGTCTGCTTCTTCATTGACGCAACGACGCGCATGCGTATATATACGCACACATATTCTGTTAATCTGTTCAAAGCAGTATTCAAGCAAAAAAAAAAAGGATTTAAAAAAGGATGAAAAATAATGCGAACTACTGTGGCAAGTAAAGAAATGAAAGTCCCCTCCTTCCTTAAACACTGCAAATAGAAATCTATAAAAAGAAAAACATAAATCGATATAATTTTGCCATAAAATATCTAACAGCCATAAATGCAAATGATTAACAATTTTGATCCAATGCCTGAATTTGTGAGATTATTTTAAGCGTTATTGATATTTACTGAACGTTCTATAGTGCTGACAAATGAAGGTAGGAACATAATGTTGCATCAGGTTGCCTGTCTTTAAAATCAACATTCGGAGCCCTGACTTTTAGCTGGGTTCGAACAACGACGACCGACATCGAGAAAAAAGTAGGAAATTATCTCAACTGACTCGAGACACAGAAGATAGAAGAACGACAAAGAGGCTCACTACATTTAATAAAATTTACTTTCTACTTTATCTAATTATATGTAAAGGTTGGAAAAATCTGGAACACATAATAAGGAAAGAGACTATCACAGGATATAAAGAAGTCAGGAGGGGGCAGAGAAAAAACAACGTTTAAGCTTTAAATGGACGGCATATCACGGACTGCGATGGATAATTTAATTTTAATTTCTTTTTATATTCAGACATACTTTCCTTTAAATCTTGGGATGTCTCGCCGATATATTTTGGATGGTTTTATTTATATGCGTTTTGGCAGACCCCTGCTTCAGATGTATCTAAATTCGTCTCTATTTTACATTGATTACATTTTTTAACTGTCTTAAGTATAAGTAATAATTTTTATATTGGGATTAGCTAAATTTCAGTCAGGTTCATATGATATGGATCCTCTCAGTCGTTTTAGTATTTGTGTCTTCATTTATACAGTCTTTTTCTTTTTTGGTTTTCTGGATTTTGTATGCTTTCTTTTGGCATTGTATATGAAATAATGATGATAGTGGAGTGTTATATACCTATGTACTTATGAAAACTAATGGGCATGTTCCAATCCCCATAAATACATCGGACAATATTGTAAGTTGGAAGTAGTCCAGCTATAGTGTCTAAGTAGTCCAGCACTAGCAGTGGTTTACCTAAACGACACCGCTGGCGAGTATTGTATTTTGTTGATGTTATAAAGATTATCATTTCATTTCCAACCTTCATTTTGGTTATTCCTCATTCAGTAACTCTTTCTTGGTTACAACATGAAGAATATAAAAAAGCATTTTTTGTGCATTTCTCTTCATCGGTAGATATTCGATTCCTCAAATCCTAAGAGATATAATTATTCTATATTTTATTTTATTGGGAACAAAATTTTATGAAATCATTTCTTGGGCGTTTAATTTTAAATCAAGATCAATTTGAATTAACAAAATATCAAGAAAAAATAAAGGGTTTTTTTTTTTTTCATATGCGATTCAATTCTAAATTTGTTTGTTTAGAGGCACATTAACTCCCTATTGGTCATCCAATGTCGAAATTTAATTTTCTTATGTGTATTAGTAATTTTTTTTTTATAAAAATGTATTTCTAGATTATTTTTCTTAACAAAAATGTATCACTGGTATTTTTTTCCTTTTTCATGTATTGCTTGTAATTTTTATTTTGTATAAATATGTATTGCAGGTAATTTTTTTTCTTTTTCATGTATTGCATGTGAGAGGCGGTGAGGTATGTGTTTTATGTTGTAGTTTTGTTGAAGTTATATTCTGGAATACAGTTGGATTTAAGAAATTGTAGGAAATAAAATGGATTAATGTCATGAAAAAGTTCTTTCATGATGATTGTTTGGTTGGTTGATTTTGTTTAGAGACATATAAACTTCTATGGATTATTTAAAGCCGAAATCTAAATATTTTAAACAAAGTTGTATGCCTTCAATTACAAATAAAACATATACAGGTATTGTTTTTTACAGACAAAAATATATTGCTGGTAATTTTTTTACTATAAAAATGTATTGCTGGTACTTTCATAGTGTTTTGATTTCTGTTTAATGATTACCCATAGCTAACACCCTAACAAATACTACCACCCCGGGTCAGGGTGGACTTGTGACCACCAGCAATTGAGAGGTGGTTCCACGCTCCTCAAAACCTCCCCATCAGATGCCTTGATTCCGAATGTAGTTTCAAATCTAAGTTCGATTTTTTTGTTTCTTTATGAGATCGAATTTAGTTTTGTGCGCCATTTATATAACTTACGTATTCAACATTTTGAGGTAAAATATTTTTAAATGAACTAGATTCTAAAAGTTCTAAAAGGAAGCTGGCTAAACTACCCCTGATAGAATACAAATGTAAACCGAATTTATGTCCGTAAAAACTATTATTGAATCTAAAAAAAAAAAAACTCAAAATACATTTATTTTCTACAAAGTCGACAAATATTTCTTGATCAGTATGGCGAGGTTTATTTTTCATTTTGTGAGGCAATTCTGTCGAAAAATTAAACATTTGTCAACTGGTATTTTAGTATGTTAGGATTTAATATCTAAGCCAGCCATGAGTTAATTTTTCAGATTTACGTTTTCCAATTTGCTGATGAGAGATGAGAAATTTGAAGGTGTTTAGGGTTGATTGTTCCTAAAATGAAGACGCTAAAGTTTTTTGCTCTGGCTTTAGATCATTTCTAGCGAGAGTGAGTTAAAGGGAGATAACTGAAGTATCTGAAAGAGGCACGTAGAACTAGAACAACCTAATCTGGTGGACGAAATGTTTAGTTCGAAATTCCAATCAATTGAAAAAGGCCGAAACGTTGTGAATATGGCAATAAAGAAGATGGCAACAGTCCGAATCATGTAAATAATTACAATACTTGATCTCAGAAATATAGACAGAAAATAAAAGAACAAACTTCAGGAAGACCGAAGATGGCGACTGACGTTGCATTTAAATTTTTGATGATCGTATGTGAGAGAAGACCAAAAAATAAGATGAAAAAAAAAAAAAAAAAAAGAACAGATAAGAAATTCGATAGAAGAAACTATTAGAATAGAACTTACGGTTACAATAGTAAAAACGATGAGACCTAATAGCCAATCAAGTAGTAGGTTTCAATTCATGCGGTTGAAGTACCGAAGTGGAGAGTTCATTAGAACAACTGCTGTAAAAATATTTATAGAAAAGACAGACGGAAGCCAGGCCACGCCGCTGGGGAAGATGCTTTTTTTTTTAAGCATATAATACCAAGCAAGGCGGGAGTACTACTAGCTCGCAAGGGGTTACAGAAAGTGGGAGCAAAAGTAAAGAGGAGTGTTTGGGGGAAAGGATATAGAGAAGGACGGGGGATCAAGATCAAGGGATCAGAAGATGTCGATTGACATTACATTTGAATATTTGAAGATTATAGCTATCTGGGAAGCAAGTAGGAGGAAGGGAGTTCCCATCTCTGTCCCATAATGATTGTTCCATTTTTTTGTACAAATTTCATAGACTAAATGGAACAATCATTATGGGACAGAGGTAGAATAATATAGAAGAATGGCTACTTTAATAATCAGATTAAAAGGAAGAGGATTATAGCTATTAGAGAAGCAAGTAAGAGGAAGGTAGTTCCACTGTCGGGAAGTGCGAGATAAAAAGCTGTTGGAATAGAAGAGACGACCACATTTAACTGTTTCGACAGTGAAAGGGTAGGGATCGACATGACTAACCTTAGTAAGACGGTTAAATTCATGCAGTCTGGGTACCAGTACATATGAAAATATTTGTAGAAAAAACAGAGGAAAATGACGGCAAGTCTGTGAGAAAGAGACTGTAGACGAGATTCTGGTGTCAAATGAGATTCCTCATCGAATAAACTGTTGGTAACTGTATTCTCGGATGGAAAAGAGATGATGTTCATGAACTTCGTATCACACAATTAACAAATTAAGACAGTGAGATGAAAAAAACGAACCAATTGATGAACTTTATAAAAAACGATTAAGTGGTTTGGAAAGTTCTATGATTGTTTTATATTTTTTAAAATTGTTAAAATACTGTGTATAAGGAGGTTATTATGGAGGCCATAGATTGGTAGACTCAAGATGTTAACTTTGGAAATCTCTAAGGCGGCACAAGCCATAATGTGCATCGGTCTGCGCAACTCTTGTGATTTTATCCCATTTTTAGTCAGCATTTTATTGGTTTTGCAATCACATTGGGGGCTGTACGTTTCGGATTTTTGTGGTGTAATCCTGAACCATTTTCTCCCATATTTGTAGATTAGAACAGACGAAAGCTTGTAGTAAAAATAAGAACTAATACGGCAGAAATTTATGGAAACAAGGATCATTTGATTCATAACGGATTCGGAGGTTTTTGTATATTATTTGAATTGTTTGCGATGATGGATTTCTCGCCAATTAAATCATTAACCTTTGCATTTGTTTTTGTGTGAATAATTCATGAATATATATATATATATATATATATATATATATATATATGTTTGGTGGTACAAATTTTTATCACTGCCATAAACAGACAAAAATTAGTTTTGTTATTACCACTCATGATAATAAAAAGTAAAAATGAAAAACCTAACCTAGCTGTGCTGTTAGTTTTAGTGTGGACTCTTTTATCATCCTTAGCAGGACCCACTCAAATTATCACCTAAAAGTGTTCGAGGCCATCTATATTTTATCATTAAAGACTTCTCGTTGTAAACAGAACGACTTTATATTAGGCCTCCAACTAATTACCATTTAATTTTTTTTCCCCACCAATAAACTTTGTCCATTGTTTTTTTTTATTATATAATTTACTTTATTTAACTCGATTTAGGTCTGCTGAGCGACGTACGAAACAGGTTAGCTAGCCTGTTTTTCATTTCTACTTTTATTATCATGGGTGGTAATAATAAAAATAATTTTTGTCTACACATGGCAGTGATATATATATATATATATATATATATATATATATATATATATATATATATATATATATATATATATGTCTGTGTGTGTATATGTATTTGTCCATCACCGGTAGTATTTACTGCTTGATGCCAGCCATGTTTCAGATTAAATAAAAAATAAACCTAAATATTTTACTTTTTTATTTGTGAAAGTTTCTAATTATCTTTGACGTTTACTTGTGTTTTTTCCATTTCCAGAACTGATCGTGAGTGGAAAAAAAACCCAAACCCCCAAAAAACAAAAAAAGAGTTTATGATTCTTCAGATATTCAATGTGGCTTCACATCGATCATCATTAATAGAAAAGAAAAGCCTCAATGCGTTTTTGTAGTAAAGCTTTATCAAATGATTCTATGAAAGCGACAAAATTGAAGCAACATTTCCAGGACGTGCATCACCAGGACAACATGTTCTTTGAACATCATGAGAATGCTCTCAAATGAATGAACCTGGATTCAACATAGACATTCCAGAGAACTGACTAGGCGTGGTCGATTCATTACATTTTATGTGATGGCTATTTAAAGGCAATATGGTGCTTTCCGAAACAACTTCGATGTGGCACAAGGCCGAAAGTATGGGGCTCTAAGTGAGGATCGAACTCCCTATTCAGTCGTAATTTATCCATTATCATTGCTAAGATAAGAAATAATTATACATTTGATAGTTGTAAATTTTTGTAAATGCGCATGAACGCGCTCCGTTATAGTCAATTTAAAAGTAACTTTTAAGAATATGGAAGGGAGGTAATTTATTTTTTATTATTAATGTTTTAAAATACTCATTATTTCAAGCAAACATGCTTGAATGAAAATATGCTGCTTCTTCTCTCTCTCTCTCTCTCCCTCTGTCTATATATATATATATATATATATATATATATATATATATATATATATATATATAAAAAGACAATATTTATAAGGCATTTTTAAGCAAAAGCTAAAATAAAAACAACCGGTTTCAGCAACCGGTTGTTTTTATTTTATTTTAGCTTTTGCTTTTAAAAATGCCTTATAAATATTGTCTTTTCCTATCTATTATTAAATTCTGTACCACGAAAAACTTATTTAAATATATATATATATATATTTAAAGATATTTTTGTAGGTACAAAATTTAATGATCGAAATAAAAGTATAAAATTTAATATTACAAGACATATTAAAAAATATTAAATAATAAAAAAAACAAAAACAAAAAAAAAAAATAACAAGGGGGGTGGGGAAGCAACCGGTTTCGCTCCCGCTCGTCAGGCACTTTACATCGGTTCCCGCAAACCTTCTTTGTGCAAACAACGTGAGTGTTTGTTGGGACTCGCTGTCATCTGCCTCTAGTTCCTTCTTGCATATACAAACATATATATATATATATGCGTAATTTTTTTTTTTTCCACCTATTCACATTGTACATTTCTCTGTTTTAATATTGAATCTCCCGTGGAAGCCTGACGAGCGGGAGCGAAACCGGTTGCTTCCCCGCCACCCTTGTTGTTTAGTTTTTTTTTTTGTTTTTTTTTTATTATTTAATATTTTTTAATATGTCTTGTAATATTAAATTTTATACTTTTATTTCGATCATATATATATATTGAAAAATACACCCCTACCCTCCCTAAACTTAACCTCTTTTTCGAACGTAACTCATAATTGATACAATAATAGTTAATAAAAATGAACACGCTACCTCTCCTGTCTAAATGATTGGATTTATCTGTATCATTTGAAAAAAAAATTATGAATTGTATGTGCATTTAAAACTCAGTAAATTTAAAAATAAGTTATTCCAAAATTCGCTTGAAGATGAAACAGAACTAATGCCTTTAATTTAATTACATAATTAAATTTAAAGTTTTTAGCTTCGGTTTTTGAAACATGGTAATTGCTGTGTAGCGAAGAAACCATATTTTAAAACAGTTAATTTATAATATTTATGCACTGTAAATTTACATTGAGCACTGTTTTGTAAACATAAAAATATCAATAAGAACACCGGATTGTATATCATGCTGTTCTTTCTTTTTATTAGAATATATATATATATATCTATATATATCAAAATGAGTCGGGTTTCGATCCTAGCTAGAGACAACCGGATGTCTAGCCACACTGATGAGCTGTAAAACAGCGAAACAGTCTGTCTGTGGATGACGTTATATATATATATATATATATATATATATATATATATGTGTGTGTGTGTGTGTGTGTGTGTGTGTGTGTGTGTGTGATTAAAGCCTGCTGGTTAGTATATACAAATGAACGTGTGTATAATTACATACTGCCAACTCGCTAAATGTGTATTTTGAATTCTGATCCACGGATTTAGCTCTCGTGAGAACGAGAAATCTCACTTGAAACATTCATGTGACCCTCAGTTTTTATTGTAGACGAGGCAAACTAAGTCTTTTTCTGTACAAGTCCTGGCTTGTTTTGTAATTTTTTTCTCAAATTGTTCGTAGATTTCCACGTAACAGGTGAGACCGCCAGCGGTTTCTGCAGGTTTTCTCACACAACGCATATTAAGTTATTTCTAGCGTTGTATTGATTATAATTTCACAAAAGTCTACCAATCACCCGGAGTATCTTTACTTGACTTTGTGCATATATATATATATATATATATATATATATATATATATATATATATATATATATATATTGTGTTACCTGTTGTATTTACTTCTTGATGCCAGTCTCGTTGCAGATCAATATAAAATAAACAAATATTTTATTTTTTTATCTGTGAAGCTTTCTAATTATGTTCTAGCTCTTTTTGTATTAATGCAGGTGTTCCCCAGGGCTCTATGTTTGGACCTATGTTGTTTCCAATTGTCATCAACGACCTTTCCTGTGTCCTCAGTATCTCTACTGATGACAACCATTTATTCATACCTTAATGGTAAGTCTGATTGGTTCAAATTGGCAGCTGATCTAAAAATGACCTACAATCTGGGGCAAGGAATGGCTTGTTAATTTGTACGCTTCGAAAACAAAATTGATCTTTTTTAATCGCCTTAGAGAACATTTTTTTGCAGTTCATCAATATCAAATAACCGCTAGCCTCCAGGGGAATGACTTCTCACGCTAACGTTTTTTCGCTAACATAAATTGGAAAGATTATACTGAACCACTTGGTTGGTTTGTTGCTAGGAAAGTTGGTTCTCTGTTTCGTAGAAAAGAATTTTTCTCGCCAGAATCTACTTATACTTACAAGTCCAGCATTCGTCCATATGTCACATAGGATCTGGTGTTTCTGCTATGCATTTAGAGATTATTGATAAAATCCAAAGAAGAATTTGCAATGTTATTGGTCCTGACCTGGCATATCAGTTTCAATCACTTTCCCACCGCCTTAACGTTGCTTCCCGGTACCTTTTTCTATAAATATTTTCATGGCAAATGTTCTGAAAAGCTTTCCTCTTTGATACCTAATCTTCCTGTTGCTTTGTTGGTTGTCTTTGTTTAGCGGCATATCAACACTTCTATGGGTTACTTAACACCGAAATGTAAATATTTTGTAAGCAAGTTTTTTATTTTATTTTTTGAAGGTAACAGTGGTTTAGTGATACAAGTCTTACTAATTAACCCATAGCTGGGGGAGAAGAGGTAGATTTATATCTTACCCAAGGGTATTTACGCTTAACTGAATATAACTAACTCAACGGGAATTGGAACTTGGCTCTCCGATTAACAATTATCCATTACACCACCCGCACACACAAGCTTACAGCGCCTGGTAGTCCCAAACGGTCAACCATCTAGCTACTGACCAGGCTCGACGTTGCTTAACTTCGGCGACCGTGCGGCAACCATTGTTTCAACATGATGTGGCCGTAAGCTCATAGACTATGAATTTAATTGTACTACTAGATTAGCAACAAGATCTCATCATCTTGCAGTTTAAATGGCTAGATGTAACCGTAATTTCTATGCTAACAGTTTCTTCTCTCGCACTTCTTGTTTGTGGAACCTTCTCCCGGATTCTTGCTTTCCAGTCAGTTTTGATCTCCAAAAATTTAAATGCAATGTCAATCTTTATCTACTGTCTTTTTATATGCTGTTCTTTTATTGTGCGCCCTTCATAATAATGTTTTTTCCCATATTCTTTCACACACAGTAACTTCTTGCGTTTTCGTGGCTTTATTGCCTTGCTTGGAGGGAAATGATTCA